ATACCTATGTTATTACAAAGCTATGATTAGTATCTTATGTTTTAAGCAAAGGTTTAACACACAAAACTGTAATTACGAGTACAACTTTCAATATATCAGTATCTACGATAGATAAATACGTCAATAATAACAGGGTTAAAACAACTACGATGTTATCGTTGCCTAATAAGTAAAAGCTAAAACTTGTATTTGAATATTTTACTAATTCCGAAGCAATTAAGATTTTATATTTAATATTAAAGGTCTATCTGTAAATTGAGATAGCTAAAATCAATATTTATAACCTATTTATGTAACAACTAGCTGTTGCTCGCGATTTCTACCGCGTGAAATTAAAAAATAATAAAAAAAACTTTGAGTAACAATCAATGATAACGTAGCTTTTTAATGGTGAAAGGATTTTGTAAATCGGCCCGTTAGTTTTTGAGTTATTACAATACGTACAAAAATATAAATCTTTCCTCTTTATAATTATAGATATAGCGAAATATATGTTATTAGGTACTAGACACGAAGCTCGTTTTGGATAATGTGGGAAAACACCGTATGTCAACTTTGATAACAAAAACATGAGCTGATTTTTACATGCGCTGGAATGACGGCATATAATTATCAATACGCGCCTTATAATTTTTAATAGCAACAATATAGTTATACATACAATTGCGTGGTATATTTTTTTGGAATAAATTGAGTTTGTTCCTACAATTAAAATGCTATAACTATACGTGCAATTGTTCATAGAATCGTTAATAAAACAAAGGCACGTTTCCAACATTTATAGTAATATCGAGTAGAAATGCCCTCGTTTTAGTTATGCCTATTGTTCGAAACGGTCGGAGTATTGACTCACTTGTATGCGAACTCAATTGAAAACCGACTGAAAATGCGCTCTCTAACTTTTTATAAGAGCAACATAGTTTATGCACTACTCAATGAATATTTAGTTATTCTGGGGGCTTTTTAATGGTATTGCAACACTTTTTTCTCTAATAACAAGAGGGTATTGTTTTTAACTTAAGGTGTTTTAACCATAATGGCTTGTTTTCCCATAATGGTTTTGCTTAACTTCCGAATTAAATGGGTAGTTTTAAATTCTATTACACACAGATCATGGACATTAATTTTTCATTATATACAGAATATTTAATTGTAGAGCAAACCCACGTCAGTCCCAGGTGTGGCACGTCAGCGTAATCCGGGGGCCGCTGTCTGCGGACCGCGTCGGGTAATCCCTGCCCTGACAAATTACCGCAACAGACCTTTCGACTGGCCACATTCATCACAGGGTTGTCAACTATAGATTTATAGAATAAGTTTGTATAATATTATGATAAAACTAATTTTAAATATTTGAAATTATTGACATACCTAATACTTTTGATTCAATTGCCTGATTTACTTTGAACATTATTTATATTATACTAATCATACTAATATTATAAATGCGAAAGTTTAGATGGATGGATGTTTGTTAGAGTTTGTAGCCTAAACTGCTCGACGGATTTCGAAGAAATTTGGTACAGATGTAGAGGATAGTCTGGAAAAATACATAGGCTACTCACTTTTCTGCGGACGGAGTCGCGGGCGAAAGCTAGTGTTTTCATAAATATACAATTTTATATAGAGTAAGTTAAAACATTGAATTATCTAATTTTGCGGTACAAAATGACTTCATATTAAAACAGATAAAATTAAACTTCAATAAGCTAACTCCAGCCACTAAAGAACTCCTAAAAGCGTCGCTTTCAAAGGCCTCTGAAAACCAAAAATAACCTTTGAGGCTAACGAGAGAGCCTTTCAAACACTCGACACGAGTTTACTCTCCAGACCTAGGCTTCGACAAATTTGAACAATTTCAAAGTCGACGAGTTTAACCTCAGAAGGAGAATTTCTTAGAAAACATCTTAGTACGACTTTAGAAATTCTGAAAGCTATATACTTTTAATCTACTTCTAGTTATACTAGCTTTAGCCCGTGACTCCGTCCGCGTGGAAATAAGTGTTCTTCCAGAATATCCTCTACGTCTATACCAAATTTCATCGAGATCTGTGCTGCCGTTTAGGCTACAAACTCTAACATCCATCCATCCATCTAAACTTTCGCATTTATAACATGAGTAAGATTTACAATTTTGTAACTGTTTAAAGTACTTATTATAGATTAATTTAAACCTAAATAGATAAAATTTTTCATGTTTTAAACATTCCTTAAAGGCCGGTATGTAAACATCACGAAAATCTAAAAATGACATGTTTTTGAAAGATGAAAAATTACGATATTTGCGTAGTCCCTGTGAAAAACAAGTTTGTAAGAAAAATATGGCGATAGATGGCAGAGACGATTTCTCAATGACGGACGAACGAATCTAACGGAGGGGCCGTTAGATTGTTGACTGAAATTTATCATCGCGGAGATTCAAAAAGTAGAAAACAAATGAAAGTTTTAGAAAAAAAAATATTATTTTAAGAATCCATACTATCGTAAGTGTTTTATTTCTGTAATATTTTACCCTTTTGTTATACCTAATTTTGTAGAGTTAAATTTTATTCAAGACTAGCTGTTTTTAGCTGTAACTGTGTGTGTAGCTGAAATTTTATTTTATTGTTTGCAATTGTCAAATTACTTACTTGATGTTGGCAGCAACTTATGGTCTCTTTCCCATATTTGGGTTTTTATTCAAAATATTTACCCCCAAGTTTAATGACGTGAAAATATATAGCCTAAAGCGTGACGTAAGTGTAGGACTTTTTACTAAAATAGAGTTATTCAAAAATATGCTGCAATTGACATCTTAGGCAACAAAGAAGTGTGAGTTTACGCTTTATTATTATAGAATAGATTTAAAAAACTTATAGATTGTTTTCTTAGCTCAACAAAAGTAAGTAGCCTATGTGTTCTTATAGCCTATCCTCTACATCTATGCCAAATTTCATCGAGATCCGTTCAGCTGTTTAGTCTACAAACTCTAAAAAACATCCATCTACTTTCGTATTATAGTAAGGTATAGTGAATTATGAAGCTTTACTTGTATTCTAAATAAATATTTGATTAGTTATCTATTTAATACAACCCTATACATCATTTTAAGTGTAATATAATTACAAAAAATACATCTTTCGATACGATGAATAATGAAAAGTGCTGTTATTCTCGAGAGATTAGAAAATACTACTGCCGACGAAGCGCCGGCTTCATTAATCAACAATACACACTTTAATTACAACAGAACAAGTAATAACATGCATTAGATGTTCATAGATTACTCCTTCTGTTTGCTATATGGATAAAATAATAGTTACATATTTTTTTTTATAATATAAGGTGGCAAAAGACCAAGCGGCCACCTGAATCCACCGAAATGGAAAGCGACCGCTGCCCATAGACATCCGCAATTGCAGATGCGTTGCCTACCCTTAATCGACGAAGGAGGAGATGCACATAAACAGGATATTTCCCCTCGCTATGCATTTCTCTAGACCGTCAAATTCAGGTTCGCCTTCCCCCCTTTTCTTATGAGAGAAAGGGTGGGAAGGAAAAGGGACTAAAGTTGGGCCTCTGGAACCACACTCATCAGACGAAACGCGGAATTGCTCCCACTTCACGCCTTCTGTGGTCGTGGTATTACACCGGGTGAGACGATCCATTCATACGAAGATGTTAAAGCGGGCTCTACCACTGTTAAAAGATAAACCAATTGCAATCAAAACATTTACTGGTGTACATCTTACCATAGAAGTTGTATCTTGACTTTAACGAAATAGACATCTTTGTTTACCTGGAACAAAAATTAATAAAAAAATTAGTAGAATAATATTAGTACGACTGTTAACTAGACTTTTAAAGCCTGTTTGAGACTTTCATTTCTGACAGTTTTAATAGAACAGTTCGACTACCGCCGGACTAGTAATGGGAGACTATGGGTGACTATAAAAATATTTTCAAATAATACACTGTAAATCTATTAGTTACTGACTAAAATCCAACATAATAAAAATATAATTTACAATTATAATCTTCTTAACGCCAGGCGATGTTTTTACAACAAATAATTACTTTTTGTTTCCATTGGAAAAACGCTTAGATTCGAACCTTGTATGTGAAAAAAATACCTCAGGTAATACGTTAAGATAATAAAATTTAAGAGCCACTTTGGGTCTTATATAGCGGAGTGACTAATACATTTCAAAATCGATTATAGGGTTCAGAGGTTAATTGACAATTTGGTTTAATGCAATTAAGGTAATTACGTTACGTTTATGCATAACTTTACAGCAAACGGTTTACCCGATCATCTGAAGATCTGGACTACAAATTAGGAGCTTATTGGTTAGTGGCACTTGATGTCGTAGTGGAAATAACCTTTAATTAAAGCTGTAGACATATAAACAAAGCTAAAAAATAACCAATAACTAAACGAATTTAACTAGGTTTATCTTACTAATATTATAAATTCGAAAGTTTAGATGGATGGATGTTTGTTAGAGTTTGTAGCCTAAACGAATGGATCTCGATGAAATTTAAAATAGACGTAAAGGATAGTGTTGAAGAAAAAATAGGCTACTCGATTTTAATTTATTTATTTCCAAGCGGACGAAGTCGCGGGCGAAAGTCAGTTATACATAAACAACTCAACGTTTTTATTTTTTCTACCGAGCTTTGAGTATAACTAGATAAACTTACTATTTTAAAAATAAAAAAAACACGAGTTGGTTGGATGTAGAAATGCTAAATCCTTTGGGAAATCAGACCGGCTAATCCACATAACGCAACAACGTAAATACTTCTGGTATACAACATAGCTTGTAGTTAAAACGGTTTTTACATAAAAACATCGTTTATGTTTTTAAAACAAATTTAGTGGACTAGATTATTGTCATCTTGGGATTTTATATTATCCCACGGGAATAACGATCGCGTCAAACGATGTCATTTCTGCCAACCTCTTTAAGTAATAGACGTGAGTATTTCGCATTACCGCATCTCTTCAGTCTGTGAACATGACGCAGGCAACTGTGCCCAAATATCGGGAGCACAACCTCATCGTGGTAGGAAGTCCGTTTATTACGTACTAGCTATTCCCGTGCGGCTTCATCCGCATGAAATTATGTTTTTTTTAACATATTCTATTAAATATCAAAATGACATGACATGACAAACCTTGGCAATCTTACTTGCTTGATGTTGGCAGCAACTTATGGTCTCTTTCCCACATTAGGATGTTAATCCCAAAATATGGCGTGAAAATATATAGCCTAAAGCGTGACATAAGTGTTGGGCTTTTTATTAAAAAAAGAATTATTCAAAAATATGCTGTGATTGCTGACATTTTTCATTAGGTAACAAAGAAGTGTGTGTTGTTGGCAACATCAAGAAGCAAGATTGCCATAGTAAGGTAGTTAGTATTTTGACATTTGCAATTGAGAATGTGACAAACGTAAACAATAAAAGTTTTTATTATTTCATGCCAATGAAGCCGGTCGGGTACAGATTGTTTAACATAGCAGATGTAATGAGTTTGTTAAATTGAATTATAGGTTATATTCTTCGCTTTAAAATAACATACAGTTTACTACAGATTAACAAAGGAACTTTCAAGATATTACATACAGCATTTTCGTGTAAAATAGCAAATACTAAAAGAATATTTATAGAACATGAGAAAAAAACGTAAATCTATATTAAAATTCCCAACCTTTTTCCCTTTTCGGCATAAAACGGCATGATTCGATAGATTTTTATCTCTACATTGGTAAAATTACGTTTTCATTTCACGATAAATCTGTGCGGCTTTCTGGTCCCGGCGGCACCGGCAGAGGGCGCGTCGAACCTTTTTTTTATCAAAACTCTACCGATATGACTTATTTTACGATAATAACTGCTTTTGAAATTTTCATATCAGCTTATAAGATGCTTTATTTTACGGTACTGAATATTATTTCTACAACGGTTGCGACGTCTCTACTATTCAAATCTTTAGCTTGCTGTTCGCGGCTTCTCTATTGTAGAACTATCTATTGCTCGCGACTACATCCGCTTACATTAAAAAATATAGCCCATTTTACTCACAGAAAAATTACCTTTTTAATGGTGAAAGAATTATAAAACTTGCCCTAATAGTTTTTGAGTTATTTCAATAGATACAAAACTGAACTAGGCGTGAAGTGGGAGCAATTCCGCGTTTCGTCTGATGAGTGTGGTGCCGGAGGCCTAATTTTAGTCCCTTTCCCTTTCCACCTTGTTCTTAAGAGGAAAGGATAAAACGGAATAGTAGATTTGACGGTGGAGAAGACGCATAGGAAGGGGAAATGTCCTCTTTATGTGCGCAGCCTCTTCCGTCAATTAAGGGTAGGCAACGCATCTGCAGTTGCGGATGTTTATGGTCAGCGGTCGCTTTCCATTTTAGTGGATTCAGGTGGTGACCACTCTTTGCCACCTTATATTATAAAAAAAAAACTACAAATCTTTTGTATAAGTTGAATACACACCGCTGTGAGAGTAAAATACGCCGCAAATTATTTAAGACCATGCAAATATCTACACAAGAATTCAACGGGTTGGAATTCTCATACAAATTCGCAGAGAATTTACCTCGCTAACGAGGAACGAGGTGTGCTAACTTATGTACATACTGTACTGGTACTTACTCGTATATGTAATTTAGATGGATGGATGTTAAAGTTTATAGCCTAAACGGCTGAACGATCTATATGACATTTGGCATAGACGTAGAGGATAGTCTGAAAGAACACATAGGCTTTTGTTTTTCTTAAACTGCACGCTGATGGAGCGCGAACGAAAGCTAGTATGTCTATATATGCTATGATTTCCTAACCTACTGAACAGATTTTAATCAAATTATGTTTATTTACACGAAAGAGATAATTTATTCCAAGAAATAAATAAAAAAGTAGCTAATAAATTGAAGGAACCTTTCGATATTATACTTAATTTTTCATACATTTGATATCGGTCTGAATTGAAAGAGATGGATGGATTGCGTGAAAGCTGACATGATCAAGAAGGGAGTGATGACTGAGATGACGGATGATAGAATGCTTTGGAGGACGGAAACCCGGTGCGCCGACCCTACGGGAGTAGGATAAGGCAGGGGAGATGATGATGATGATATCGTTCTGAATTTTGCAATTAATACCTTGTCAATTAGACTACGAAACATCAAAGTTTATAAACGGAGTAGTCGATTCAATTCCGGGAGCTGACTAAATTATTTTAATGAAGCTTTTAAAGGTACCTTTGAAATTAACGGATTGAATCTTACGATGAGTTAAAACAGATTCGAAGAAAATAATTATCATCAAACTGATTTTGTTCAATTAATTTGGTAATGCCGTCATACGAATCCAATTACGAGACTTAAACTGGGTTGCTGAGTTATATACATTTTATCACCCCTTATGGCCGGTTTCCCAGTTACGTTTAACTACAGCGAAATTTAATTTATAAATTAAATAGTTCGCCCGCAACTCGGTCCGCGTGGAATTAAGAAAAATACGTAGCTTATGTGTTTTTCCAGTTTTTTCTCTACAACTGTCAAATTTCATCGAAATCCGTTTATCCATCTGAACTTTCGCATTTATATGATTTGTATGATATATGATTTATGATCAAAGTTAAAAAAAAATAAATATTTTCATCCACAAAATAAATAAAGGAACAAGTAAAGGAGATTAATTAAAACTTGTATAGTATTCAAAAAATTACAAATCGTTTTCACCAGCCATTTAAAAAAATATTAATTCACTTCAAAATCTTACCTACTCCATTTAAAAATAAGAATTACAATTGTAGCAATTATTTTCTTCTTACCGACTAGAAGAAAATTCAGTGGCTTTCGTAAATACTATTTCTATACAAACGAGCAATTCGCGTGTTTACCGGCCAGCGTTTACTGCTTCATCCAAGCGACGGTCTTTGACTTAATTAAGTTATTGTACTTTCTTTTATATGTAGCTTGATTTGGATTTCTAATACCTATAGGCCTGTTAAAATAGTGTATGTAAAGAAAAAAAATAAAAAGTGAATTTAAACAGTGTGCCATAATATATAAGCGTCTGTATATATTAAATTGCAATTCTGCTTAAAATAATAAAATTATGATTTTTTTTAAAGGCGCTTTCACAGATTTCTCCACACAGAATTGACAATAATAGACGTTCGCCATACACAGACGCCGCAATTACCACCAAAATTGCAATAGACCAACACCGACTTGAAGTAGAAAGGACTAAGTACTTGAATAAGTTAATAAATAGTCTAAAATATACTTTAGATAAAATAGGGACGTATTAATACGAATACGAAGAATGAATGAAAAATTCAAAGTGAAAATTTCTTGAAATTTCATTTTCGGAATGATATTACGCGCTCTATCCAATATGTCGAGATTACAAGGTCTACGTTGAAGTTATTGCAAACTGGTTACGTACAATTTTCAATGGATATCGCATTCAGATATTGGAAAAGGTGTTTCAATTTTATTCCCATTCTGCATAACAATAGTAAATATAAGATACTAGCTTTTACCCGAGACTCCGTCCACGTAGTATTAAAAAAAAAACAAAAGCAAGTAGCCTATGTGTTCTTCCAGACTATCCTCTATATCTATGCCAAATTTCATCAAAATCCATTCAGTAGTTTTAGCTACAAACTCTAACAAACATTCATCCATCCTTCTAAGTTTTGTATTTATAACATTAGTGAAAATATCTGTTTTTAATTTTATTATACATCATTATTTATAGAAGGGGTGAAATACGTTTCCCCTTATTACCTAAAATGTATTTGCCTCTCCGTGTTTTTGGTAAGGTCCCTTACAATTTGTATTGCCCTAAAATCTTCATTCCTATATTTTGCGTAGCATTTAGTCCTTCATCAACCTTAATTGATATGCCCTATCTTATCTTACAATTAATTAAATTCATAATTGGGCAATCTATCCTGTCACGTGGCATTGAGGGTAACATTGTCTATTAAACAGGGTTCATCTTGCCCTAATTTGAGAACGTATCATTTATCAAGTATTGTTCTGTTCTATTCTAGAAGGATCTATTGTCTTTTTGCGTTGAATTCAAACGTGGGTAAGAAGAAAATGGATTTAATTTATGCTTGTTACTAGCTTCTGCATGCGACTTAGGCTACGCGGAATTAAACTAAGCCTATGCTATACAAATCTATCTAGACTAGATCGTAACACCGTTTTTAAGTTAAATTCTACCATCCATCCATCCAAATTTACGTATTTACTCTTATAATCTTACTAAAAATATAAATACAATCTGGGTGGATGTATTTAGTAGAGTTTGTAGCCTAAACTGCTGAACGGATCCCGATGTAATTTGGCATAGATGTAGAGGATAGTCTGGAAGAACACATAGGCTACATGCTTTTGTTTTTTTGTCATAATTCCATGCGGAAATCGCGGGAGATACTAGTGTTATTAAGCAAGAATTAGTTATTTTATACAAACTCTAACAAAGACTGGTATTCAAATTATTACTGCATTAAAAGACAAAAAAAGGAAAAAACTCCTTTGACGTTCAAATTTATAAACACTAGAAAAACTCTCAAACGCTCCTTTGAAGTTTTACAAACGATCAAAGGAATTTCGAAGTAAAGACGTCGTTTCAAATTTCACGCTCTTCGGAGGATAATTAAAGAGAACTTATTTGACAGAGATATTTAATTACGATATAAGCATCTTATTAAGATATTTTTAACTTAATTTGGTCCAATATTCATGACGTATTAAATACCAAAGGAGGTTATATTTGGCTGTTTATTAGTCTGACAAGCTTTCTTTCTGTTTTAATAGGTATTTATTAAAAATTGTTTTCATTGTGTGAAAAGTGTAAAAAAAGTTTTCAGTTTTTCAAAATTACTTTGATGTTGGAATGAATAACTAATAAACGCTTTTGTCTATGTATAAAGTTATAGTTTTAATTTCTTTTTCCGATTTAAAACTCAATCGATTCCCTCCGGAATCGCTATCGAAGTGTTTGGTTAAACTAACTTGTTCCGATATTTT